TCTTTAATCCTGATTGTTTGAAATTCTTCATGCACGTGCTTTTTATCAGCTTTTCCATTAACCGCATCATTTACTTCCGACTTCTTTGCATAATTTTCATCTACATAAGTTTTGTCGGCTTTCTTATCATATAAATCTTGAGCAGTGAATTTAACATTATTTTCATCATCCATGACATAAACATTTTACAGCTAATTTCTTTCTTCGTTGTTATGTTTTCATTCGATGTTAAACCTTGTGGAAAGTTAGGAGGTTTATAATATAATGCATCCCACCAGTTCCGCCAACCGTTCCTTCAATACTTTCTATAGCAACAGTTGAGAAGGAGTTATGTGTATGTTCTTTATCTGCTTTCTTATCTAACATTGCTGGTAGTTCATATGTTTCAAAGTTTCTGACATGACCTTCGATATTTATACATTTGTTATTTAAGGAGTTTAGTGTATCTTTTACGCTTGTACTTGGATTCTCTAAAGGTGCACTTGAACCAAGGGTATAGTTCAATATTATGTCGTCTGCTCTAACAGTAGTGAAGGATTTATGTGTATGGTTCTTGTCAGCTTTACTATTTAATGTAGCTTGAAGTGAATTTATATCGGAGATATTGTGTTTATGAGATTTCAAAACTTTGTTCGTTGCGTCAAGTTCATCTTTGTCAGCTTTACTTTTAATAGCATCTTCAAAAGTTATTTTTGCCTTAACTCTCAAAGTAAATCTTGGTTCAACTAATACACCGTTAACAGAGAAACTAGAAGCATAAATTTCATCGTTATAACCAAATGCTTCTTGTGCTTTACCTGTGTCATACTGTACAGTACAGCTTATGTCATAACCTTTAGCACGAATGAATTTATATCTTCTTTCATTAACATCTTCAGTGCTTATTTGTTCATCCTGTGTTAAATATCCGTGGTAGTCCGTTATAATTTGTTCGTCTGAACTTATATAATGAACATGGTTTTTATCTGCTTTTTCGGCTAATTTCTCTTCTATCTCATTTATTTCAAGTTCATGCCTACCACCACCTCCCGAAGAAGTATTTTTCTTCAGCTCTTGAAGAACGTCCACTTCGCCATCTTTGGTGTCAATAATGAGACTTTGAGTTAAAACCTTTCCTGTCTTAATGGATGTTTGTAAAACTTCTTCTTCACCGTGTTCGGGGTCATGGTCGTCATCATATCTTGCGAAATCAGAGATGTTGTCATACATTAAGCATATCTGTCTCAAAAGTTCTGCTATTTGAAACTGGAACGAAAGATATACAGAACTTTCATCATCTCCTAAAGTCAAGTCTGCTTTCTTAAGTATTTCTTGAATGTATGCAATGAGAACAGAGTACCTTGGAAAATATTCGAACAATATTTCATTAGCTGTTGGTTTTGGTGGTTCTTCTGGATTTCTGTTGTTTCAGTTCCTTCTGTAGGTTCTGTTGGAGTTTCTGCATCTCTTGATTTCAATGCTCTTGCTCTCAAAGACCTAAATGTTAGAGCACCAGGTTTTACAAAGGACTTTATAAATGCTTTAATAGTTCCTGGTAAGTTATTGTTAGCATTAAGTAAGTTCCTTATGCTTCCATCATGTACGTCCATAGCACTATGTAAAAAATCTATACTTTTCTTGTAGTCAGCAATAGACTGACTGTGATTTTTTAAAGATTTGTCAATACCTTTAAGCCAATCTTCATGCATGTCTGATACTGAGCCAAGAATATCATTTGCTTCCTTTAGTGTATTTTGTGCTTCTCGTAAAGTATCCAATCCCGTACGTGCATTGTTTGCTATACGTCTTACAATATCTATTTGACTCCTTGTTTCTTGCATCCAACCAGATAAAATTTTAATAGTATCCGAACCATTTGAAATGAAGTTCAAAGCATTTTTAACGTCATCTAAAACTTCTTCACCAAGTACCGCCCATATCTTTCCGATTTGGTATTGAAGAACTCCATATGAAGCAGCTGTTAAACCAGTATTTATAAGGTTCCATATCCATGATTTAGCAGTTTTTCCATCCTTTCCATCTTCACCATCCAAACCGTTTTCGCCTTGAGGTCCTTGTATTCCTTGTATTCCTTGTATTCCTTGTATTCCTTGTGGTCTTGAGGTCCAGTGTCACCCTTCTCTCCTTTCAGTTCATCTTTATGTTCGTTATAATATTCTAATGTCATAAGGTGTACATCATTACTGCTACCAGCAACGCCGAGAATTTGTTTCTCATTCATGACTAAATTCTTTAGGCATTTAATGTTGTCGTCAAATCGAAAGCTCTTTAGTAATTCAATGAGAACATTCAGTACTTTCACTAATGAGGCATCTACTGTTGAATTTATATATTGCACCATTCCATCATTTATGATGGGAACCTTGCTTGTTGTAATGAATGGGTCATAAGTGTTAAAAGTATCGAAATCAATGACTTTTTTAGTTTTTCCATCGTCAATGACTAAATCATTGCCTTCAATGGTTAAAGTTGAGTTTTCGTTTACTAGTTCATGTGCTCTTCTTGCTTCATTTGTTTCATACGCATATGCAGCAATAGTCATATTTTAATGAGAATAAAATGTTGTTCTATTTGCAAAGTACAGACCCAAACGAATACGGAATAGTAAAACTACAAACAAACTTAGGTCTTCAGAATGAAGCGCTTGCTTTCAGAGTTGTTGACTTCAATACTATCGCAACTTTTGTCATAACAGATGAAACAGATTTCATAGAGATTGAAATAGATGACAAAAGAAGTTTATAACATTTCCTAACAGAGCTGGTATAGAATAGATAAATTGCTGGAGTCATAGATACTCTCATAAATGAAGAAACTATTGACAACATAGATGTCGAACTCTCTTCTGAGGGAACATTGAAGTTCAGCAGCGAGAAAGAGTTTAAGATACCAAGAATGAGTCATAGAGTTCAATTGCTTCTGGGTGCATACCATATGACATTTCCTTTGAAAAGTGTTGACAAAACGATTGAGATGAAATCTGTTCCATACGTATGTTATGGCAATTGTTTGTACGTTGAGTCAAAAATAGCTAATGTCACAGGTATTTCAGGAGTTAATAGTAAAGGTTCAGTAGAATATAAATCCTTCTGTTATGCAGTCAATTCAATGTTCATTCCAAACGTTCCTGTCATAGCAACTCATTTAGGTAAATGGGTTTGCATTAGTCCTCATAATTTGAAAGACATGCAATTCAGACTTGTTGACTTTCAAGGAGAGCCTGTAGAACTGAAGGCACCAGTGCGAATGACTGTTGAAGTTGACTTTTTAGAAAATATTAAATGCAACAGCTTACAAGAGAACTCAGAGCTAAAAATATAAAGTATGAATGTTATGTATTAGGTCATGAACTTTGGTTGTTGCTGTTTGATGAAACAAATGAGTTAGTTATGTCAGTCAAGAGAACAGAAAAATATTGTGTTAGTGAAAACTGCACCAAGTCAATAAGATTAGGTTTGCATTATGAAGATGAGTTCGATACTGTTGAAGAAGTTTTGGATAGATATTACAAATTGCTAACTTGAAATTTTTTGACTGACGGCGCAAAGCGCCAAGACGAGGGTCCTGACTGCTTTAATTTACTAAAACATATTTCAAACAAAGCTTATATTCTGTTGAAAATTTTGTATACTCGTTTGAATATTTATACTTAAACTCAACTCCTGGAGTACCTGGTGTTTCAATGATGCGGATGTTACCTATTTTCATGAATAGTGGAGTTTGACCACAGCATTCGATTTCAGGGTCGAGATAGTCAATGACACATTGTTTCCCCTGTTATTCGTGATATAACATTTTCAAGGTCCTCCTTTGTTAGAATTATTTGGTTCTTACTAATAAGATTTGTCAAAAGCTTCTTATCGTCTTTGAGTAAAATGTTTGGTATAACTGAAGAGGTAATGGTCTACGTTATCTGAAGGATTTGTTTGAACATTTGTGTAAGGGTTGTCGTTGGCTTCTCTTGAAAGAACTTGGTCCAGTGGTGGATACTCTAACTTAACATCTGATGTAGCGTTAGCGTTTGAAGCTGCGTTTAAATTCACCGACTTAAGATCTGGTTCTTTTTCTTTCAACACTCCGAACTATAGTTCTTTATGACAATATTGTTTGTCGTTCGTGAGTCAGTACATTTGATGTTGGTTCATTGGAACATTAACGGCACCAGCTAAGATGGATTTGCTTCTCATTTCATATAGAATAAAACCTTTTATGTGTATGAAATGAACAATATACTCGACAAGGGTTTGAATGTAAAGCTAACGAATGAAAATATTGTTGAATTCACTGAGACAGGTGCTGTGTATAAAGATGTAGAACTACTGAACAAAAGAGCTAAGGGAAGAAGCAGGAACATGAACAAAGGGTGGAAGCCTATAAAAATTTATGTCAATGATGGCTCAGGAGGTTTCAAACATAAAGTATGCAGAAAGTTATAGAGTTTATGCTCTCAAGGTGAAAAGCCTTCATTTAAGAACAGCTATTCTAACGCATATCCTCAAAAGCTAACGGATGGGGAAGTGGATGATATGAATGACAGCAAAAATATTAACAGAAATGGCGACAGAGATGCATGGAATTTGTTTACCATCAGTCAATTGAAGGTTAAATTTTAAAACAATGTTGGTCGTTCCCATGGAATATTTTTGACTTTAATGGTATTAGTCATGATATGAATCTCAAGGTATGAACGAGGAGAGATGAGACTTATATGCTTCCCAAATTTCTTCAAAAGGTAATGTTATACCTGACTGTTTCCAAATGAGTTCAATATCATAGCGTGAGAAACCTTGAAAGATAACGAAGTCAGTTATGAGACGTTTTATGTTTAAAGCTAAAACCTCCATGTTTGCATAAGTATTGCTACAGTTAAGTGGTAATGTCTGACTTTAGTAATGATGTTAGCTAATGGTGAGTCAGGCTTTGAAACTAAACCTTTTCCGGCGAAGTCGTCGCATACGAGCAGAGTGTTTGAAGGATACTTTTTGAAGGGGTATTTTGAAAGTTTTGATAGAATGTAGTTTGTCAGTCGTTTCATATCGTAAACTCCTGAGTACTGACGTAAGTGGTGTTTGTCAATAATTCTTTCCATCTCCTCAGAAGTCTTTTGCATTCCTGACTGTATAAATTCAACGATGGCATAATATTTCCTCTTACGTCGAATGTAACGTTGAAGAAATTCAATGAGTTCACTGTCTGGAACTTTAACGACAGAGGCTTGAACTTTTGACATGAATGTTTTCGCTGTTGAGTCCATAGAGTCTGAAGTTGCTGATATAATGATTTGGTCATAATAAGAGTCGTTTCCTAAACGCTCTGTTATGAGTATATGACGAATTAAATTAAATGTCTTACCTGAACCCATCTTTCCACAATAGAAATAAACACCATTTGAACAGAATTCATAGTCCTTACTGAAAGGAAGAATGAGAGAACTGTTGAGCTTTTCACTGCTTTCATTCATGTCTTCATCTACGTCATGTATTAAATGCTTCATTTTATCTCCATTAAAAATGCAAGTCAGAAATATTCAGAACATAGCACCGAGTCTAACTGACAAGAGTATAAAGATATACTATGAACATGTTATGATGAAACAACCAAAATTCAAGAAAGTCAGTATACTTATGAATATCCAAGACACTGGGTAGAGTATGTAGGAGGTGAGAAAGCTATTGAAATCAGACAGGTTCGAAGTATTCCAGCAGGAAGAACAATATTATTGAAGAACTTTAATGTTTTGAGGTATAATGATGAAACAAAGAAGCAAGATAGTTTTCCTGTTGCTGTGTATGTGAACCTAGACACAGGAGATGACATGAAAGTTTTTAACACAAAGCTTCAAACGGTAGTGAGAGAACAACTGACTGCGGAAGGGCATCCATTACCTTCAGAAGTTACCATAGCATATAATTTTGAAACAAACTCAATATATTTTAAAGTCGTCTCTGCAAAGAAGTCAAGATTTACATTTAATGAAGCAGATGTCTATTCGAATGAAAACTTCAAAGCTATTGCATGGTTAGATAATGACGATTGCTTTAAGAAAATCTTTAAATTCAGTGACTCAAAGATGTCAATAGATGACTTTCGTGGAATGTTACCATCGACGTTTACAGTAGAAGGTTCAGCAGGATTGCTTACAAGATTGTCAATTGGTGGTATTTGGTCTCGTGAGAACATTGTTATAAAATCCAGTATAAGTGAATTTGCTGAAGAATCTATATTATGTCTTTCAAACTATATGTATTCGCCGCCAAAGCATTATAGTATAACAAACTTTGTCAGTAAGTTTAACATAAGACTTGTCGAACCTTCTTCAATGAAAGATGTTGTGCTACCTAAAGATGGAAAGGATGGACTCATTATTGAGATGATTTTAATAGCATATTAAATGAGCTTGTTCTTGAAGGTCATTCATGATGAAATAACTGTTGTAGAAGATGTTAGCAATTGTTCAGACATTTTGAAGCGTATAGATGAGATAAGAAAGAAGTTAGATAGACCGCAAAGCGGTGAGGGCGAAGCCCGTGAGAACGCTTATGTTTCATTGACTTTCTCCAGTAACGAGAACTTTTATGAGATAATATTGAAGAGAGATGATTTTAATATGGTGTAAATGGTAGCTTGGGCAGCTTTAGGCGCAATGGGAACAAAAGCATTAGCATTTGGAGCAAAAGCACTTGGAGCTTATGACGCAGTAAATAAAATGAGTGGAGGAAGGGTTTCGAAGACATTAGATGCAAATAAAGGAAAGATTGGAGGCTGGGTTGCAAAGAAGTTAAGATTAAATAAAATAGGGCTCATAAATAAAGCATCCAATTTGGTTGCGACTGAGTCAGAAAATGCTTTAGGAAAGGACGATGAGTTTGCAAAACACGCAAAAGACTTTAATGACCAGATGAAAGGTGAAACAATGCATTTAAATAGAGTCGATGGAACTAAAGAAAATGTTTCTTCTCCACCAGCGGTTTATCCATACAGACCTTATGGAATGTATGGAAACCCTTACGAAAGACCATTTGACCCATTGACTGGTGGAAGTAATTGGTATCATTATGGACGAAGAAGAAAGACAGTCAAGTTGGAGACAGACGTGAAGAAAGCAACTAAAAAGAAACCAAGGAAGAGAGTTATAAAGCAATGAATTCAACAGGGTGAAAAACCGGGTGAAAAAAGAGGTGAGTTTTCACCACTTCACCTAAATTTATTTTTGTGCTATGTTTTCATACGTGTGAGGGTGGTGATATCATTAATTTTTAAGTTTATTTTTTATTTTATTTTTATATAAATGACGAAAACTATTGAGATAACAAACTACAACGGTCATGAGTTCAAGAATTTGTTCTTCGTTCCTCGTGAAAATACATTCTATCAGATACGAGGGAGAAAGGGTAAAGTTAGTTTGAGCGTTTATGAAGGAATGAAGAATGGAAAGTTTATACAAGCATACGATACAAACGGTAAACGTGTTTCATTAGCTTTGTCAAAACTTACTAACATTTATTTTGACAGTGACTTTGACTCTGACGATTGGAGCGACAGCAGCGATACTGAAGAATATGAAGTATTGTGTGAAGCACAGCAATGGGAGGAGTAGCATACTTTTGTAAGTGAGAACGTTTATTTTTACAGTAGTGAAGTCGTTTGTGAAAACGTTAGTGAAGTCGTTTATGTGTCAGACGGTTTTGTAAAGTGTCAAATTCACATATAATGGGTAAGGAGGCGCGCAGTGCCTCAGTACACATTATATGTATACTAACTAAAACTAGGGATATGAAATTTTGGTTGTACACCACTTGTATGTGCCGGATACCATTGTGTCAAATTTTTTCTGAAATTAACTTTAAAAGTACTAAGTAAGATCATGAGATATAGCAATATATGTTTAAACCAACTTATATTTTGGTTGTACACCACTTGTATGTGCCGGATACCATTGTGTCAAATTTTTTCTGAAATTAACTTTAAAAGTACTAAGTAAGATCATTTATTTTTGCATAATATAATGCCAATATGGTTTCTTTTGATTTTATTTCATTTATAAGCAAATCAGATTTACCCAAAAACTCCACTCCATAAGCGTTCATTTGCTAAATTAAAAAGTGACAATGGGCTAGTCTGTCCCTTTCTCCTCATTTTGAAATTCGATGTAAAATGATCAACAATATATTTTAGTATGAAATTATATCTATAAAAATTATTCTGTATTACGACATTCTCATTGATATATTTTATCATCTTTTCATTATTATTGTTTTTGTTTAAGCACATAACTTAATATAAACGTCTTGAAAAATCTTGTCTTTTGCAACCGAGCTGTAAAACATTCAATTTAATAATCCTGGATATGTTCGGTCAAATTTCTATAGGGAACTCAGTATCATTCATTGTAAAATAATTGAATCCACCAAAATATAGTGATTTTCATATATTATCCATAAAATCACAACAATGTCTCGAAGAATATTGAGGTATTTCGATTAGATAAAGGGTATATTATTCTATTCAGCTGATCATTTAGAAGGCCTTTGGACAATATGCCGAAGATAGTTGGAGAGTCACTAATTTAAATTCTATCATGTTCATTTAATCACAAAATAACCATTGCAAAATTTTACCTCATTTTTTTAACAGATAATGTTAATATTGATTTTTTTCTTTCACACAGCTTATTCAAGGAAACTCAAAGTGAAAGACACAATACCAGTATTTGGAAGCAGTGTAAATTCATATGATGATCCATTTAAATATGGAAATTTTGAATTTGTTCCAAATTGCTTCACGACAACAAATACAAATAAGGACTTTTATCATAAATTAAGAATGAATACAAAGTTTTCCATACAGTATAAGGTACCAATTTCAAATAAATATTTATGTTCATTGAACTTATCACGAAAAGACTCACAAATACTCGAAAATTTAATTAGGAAAGACTTCATATATGAGATTTATAATAATAAGTTGCCAGTTTGGATAAAAATTGGAGAAATAGATTCTAAAAATCAAGTTAAAATTTACACACATTTTCAATTTATATTTGGATTCAGAGTAGATCATATTGTTGATACATCTGTTATTCCATCAAACCCCAAACTACTTAATTCACAAAATTTATTACAATTTTCTTATTCTGTTGAATGGCAACCTTCACGCAAACGTTACAGACAGAGATTTGAAAGGTATTCAGATTATGATTATATGGATTCTGATCTAAGAATAAATTCAATCTATCTTTCTTTATCAATGCTTGTAATCATCAGCGTTATTACATTTAACTACTTGATAAAGTTACGCAGGAATGGGAATGATACAAGAAAAGATAAAGCAAGTTCCGATTTATTTGATTATACTGAATCAGAACAAAATGTAGCAGCAATTCGTAACAATATATTACATCCTCCACCACGTAAAATCAGATTAGCTTATCTATTATCAGTAGGATCTCAAATTTTGTTTACATTACTGTTATTCTCTATAACAACCTTGATCAAGAGACTTTCTTTTAACAGAATGGGTCAATTAATAGTTATCTTAGTTGCTTTCGCTGTTTCAAGCTTTTTAACAATGTTTAATATGAAAGAAACTATTTTGATATGGAGTATCCCAAATTTAAGACTTCATATAGCCAAAATATCGTTAGTAATATCATCATCCTATCTTATTTCCGATCTCTTTGTTTGGATAACTAATACCTTGTTCGGACCAACTAGATCAAGCAAAATTTATATTACATTTGTTATTTCTATGATCATCTTTTTAATTAGTTTTGTTTCAATGTTTATTGGTAATGCTTTATCATTGAAAAAATTATTTTTCGAAAAATCATTATCAGCAATCAGAAGGAAGATACCAAACATGCCGTTTTATCTCACAAATACATTTATATGTTTTATAGTAGGAATAATAGGCTGGAATACAATTTATCTGGAATTTAATTTTATTTTGTCATCAATTTGGTTACATAAGTTATATTATACATATTTTTACCTTGTTATCACATTACCGATCTCTATTCTCATTGTTGGCGCTTCAGGTTTACTTGCAAATTTAATACGATTTGCAAATGAAAATTATGAATGGCAATGGCTTAGTTTCTTATCTCCTGCAATTACTGGTTTTTATTCTTTAATTCAATCTTTTATTTTTGGTTATAATTATGTTGAATTTTCAGGTTGCCTTCATTTTACCCATTATATCTTCGTCTCATTAGTTTTATCATTAATTGTTGCTCTTATTTACGGATATGGAGGATTTGCTATATCATCATATGTTATTCGTTTTGTTTTTGATCCCCACAGGGATTGATTTATTTATATTAGTAAGTGTTTGTATTTTTGTTTGTTTAAATAATAAATTTGTTATCATGTATAAATTTTCTTTATTTTTTGTTAGCCATTTCTTCAAACATATCGGCAACTTCAACGAGTGATGGAAGGATCCATGTTGGTTTATCTTGATCTGGATATTTGAGTGCATCTTCACGAGTATCAACTCCAGACAAGACTAAAATTGATCTTGCTCCATTTTGAGAAGCAAAGGCAATGTCAGTGATCATTCTATCTCCGACCATGACAACATCTTTCTTGTCAACATTTAATGTCTTCAAAACTGTATCAAACATTATCTTGGTGGGCTTTCCAATTACAGCAGCCTCTTGATCAACAGCAACTTCAAAGGCTTTTAGGCAAGCTCAGGTTCCACAAACCAAGATTCCGCCTGGCATTGGGAAATTAGGATCTGGACTTGCACCAATAAGTTTAGCTCCATAATTCTTTATAAGATTGATTCCTCTGGCAATTTCTTCATGAGATAAAGTTTCTGACCTCGAAATTACAACTGCTTCAACTGGCTGAGGTTCTGGATCTGTTTTGATGTTATGAACTTCGAATCCATGCTCTCTAAGTTCCTGCATTAAACCCTCGTAGCCGCAAACAAATACCTTATGAATATTATTGTGTTCAAGATATTTCACAGTTGCATAACCTGAAGAAAAGACATCATCTGCTTGAAATCCTTCAAAACCAAGCTTTTCGAATTGTTTAAGATATTGTTCTCGTGTCTTAGAACAATTATTTGTTACTAAAACAAGACGTATTCCAAGTTTCCTCATTCTGTTTAGTCCTTCGATTGCGCCTTTTACAGGTACATGATCTATCCATATTACTCCATCAACATCTAGGAGAAGAATCTTTGGAATTTCACTCATTTATATTTTTGAAAGAATTTGATAGAAAATTCATCATTACCAAAATTTTTACAAAATATGATCAGTATAGATAGCGATTTTATTTCCTCTAGAATTTTATATTATTAACGTACACTTTGAATTCATAAAATTTTTAATTACAATATTGACTTTTGATAGCGATGCGTAGGACTATGCGACCAACAACAACGGTTGCAAGCAGACGCTATCAGATTCCATCTATGGATTCTACCATGCCGACATCTCGCTCATCAGTTCGGTCATCAATATCAGTAAATGAAAATAATAAACATTCTCTCTTTCTTCAGTCGTGGGAAGTCTTTGAAACTTCTGCAGTAGAAATGTTCGAAAACAATATTAAAATCATTAATAATCCAGATAATTTTCATGCATTAATATCAAAGTCTTCAACTACATTTGCAAACTTCTTCCAAACAGTATCAAGACTATGTGGAAACATCTTGACAATTAAACCAGGTAGGAAACAAGGATTAGTTAGTGGAGCCTCAGCAATTCGATCATCATATGCTCCTTTCTCTTTAAGTTGGACAAAACTTACTGATGATTTAGAACATCAATACCTTCACATATATCGCCAGATCAGCGTTGAGTTTGAAAATACACTTTTACCGATGAAATCTTTTATTACTCAAAATCTTAACCAATATAACAATTCAACGACTCAACTCTTATCATTATTCTCTGAACTTAAGAAAACAATTGAGATTATCTTCCAAAGTGAAGAATATTTACATCAAGGAAGTCAATATTTTTCAGAAATCACAAGTAACATATCAGTCATACTTGCAAATATACCAGATCTCCCAATAGATCAACAAAACAGTTTCATGTCTTCTCTTGATATCCTTTTCCGAGCAGCAATTACCTTTTTAATGAATTATCATTCACTTTTATCGTCAAAGAACCAATTTCAAGAGATTTTAGACGAATACGTTTCAAGGTTAGAGCTTCAAGTTGAAACATCCAGATCAGCAGTTCCAAGTCACCCACCTCCTCTCAGTAGTTTGCAAAGTTCAAGGGAAATGATGTCGAAATCTCCTCCATCATCGTATGAAATCAAATATTTGGGAGGAACAACTCTAGATGAAGTTATATCCAATGGCCAGAAAGTTATTGGAACAGAGCAACAATCACACAGACTTTTCTTTGATGATCTTTACAAATTCGCAAATTTTCTGAGAAAAATTTCTGAAGAAAATAGCAGATTTAGAAAGATTAACTCTCTGATTTTTGAGAAAGAAGAACCTGATGATGAAGATGTAAAAGAACTGAAAGAAAGGCTTAAAAGAGTAAGATATAATGAAAAGAAAATTTATGATCTCGAAAAACAGTTGGATAGTCTTATAAACAAAGAGAATAAAGCTCAGAGAGAGAATAAGGAATATGAAGAGGAGAACAAGCGTCTAAGTCGTATTAATACTGAACAAAATGATAGATTTAATAATTTTATCGGAAAAATGGCAGATCTTATTGGAACAGAGCCTAGCGAAGAGAAACTACTTGCAAAAATGGATCAAACAAGAAATAACAAGGCTTGTTTGTGCATGAATCAATTTTTATTTGGAAGTAAAGAGGAAAAATACCTTGGAAGCTTCAACGCATTATCAGCTCAGTTTGCCTCATTAAGAAAAGAACTCATTGTTCTCTCAAATTCGTCTGAAACCTCATCTCATTCGGAAATTTTAAATAATCTCAAAGAGGTTTCAAAACAAAATAAAGAAATCATAACAAGCAAACGCAAGGAAGATCAAAAACCATCAGAAAATACTCAAGATGCTGCAAATTACAGTAAATTCAAAAACTCTATCGTTTCAATTTTGAAAAGTGCCAATAAAAACGTTCAGCAAAATATAACGATGAGTGAAATTGTTACGATTTTATCTGAAATATGCCAAGCATCTACAAATGAGTATTCAACTTCATATTTGAACAAAACTTTCACATCGGTTGTTGATTTGATTGATGTAAGTTCAAAAACAGTCCCTTCTGTTTATCTTCCGGAAGTTTGTTATTACTTTATGCTTATGTATCAATCAATCAACTATCTCAAGAAATTTACTTCTGATATGGATGAGGTTTTTGATAAATTTGAATTTAAATTGCCAATAAAGGGAACAGCTGAATACGACAACTTAAAACATTGCAGTAATCAGCTTGCGAAACATTTACATGAAATAGAACCTTCTTCAATGCATTCCGTTGTATTTCATGCAATAAGTAGGTTTATTATCTTAGTTGAGGCGTTTGTTTCGAATCTGTAATGACTAAAAATAAATATGTTTGTTTTTTTGTTTGAATTAATACATATCATATTTTTTTATAAAATTGCATCAATTAAATCAAACAAATTCAAGATATGTAATCTGAATTCTCGTATGACAGTGGTTCACCCGCCAACAGCTAGATGCAAAATCATTAATTTTCAAATTTACGATGAAAATCCGATTTTTTATCCATAAATTTTAAGATTCATACGCTATTTTAGAAGATACTAGTAACAAATTATTACATTTTTAAAGAGTAATCCATGGTTGTTCGACGGTTTGTTCGTCAAGGTTTCTCAATTTTTATTCAGATTCATTGTCCTATTTTGAATATATAAATAATATTTCATTAATCCCGATGAATATAAATTCCATATTTAAGCATTCCATTTGGATAACCTCATCCTCGAATATTTTCAATCCAATTGACTTTTTGTCTGTTTCAAAAAAAAGTGATCTGACTAAATAATAGCGTTTATGATAGTGTTTTAAATAAAACATAATTTGGATCAACAATTGGCAAATCTGACAGGCAAACCGTAAAAATTTGAACCGGTTTTAGAAATTTCATTTTTTCTTATGTTTGCGTTTGCAGTTCTAGCATCGTCTAGAGTTCCACGCTACCCAGTTCGTCCAGTAGCGCCAGTCTTCCGCATCCCAAGACCATTCCCAAGACCAGTTCCAGTAGCTAAGCTTAACGGAGAAGAGGAAGAAGACCCAGAAAACATTTGGGGCACAATCGCCAAGGAAGTCATCAAGGAGGCTGCTAAGTCCGCTGCTGCCGATGCCATCTACTCTGGTGCCAAGTGAGGCTACCACAAGGTCTTTGGCCAGGAAGCCGAATCCAATGCTGAAGAAGAACAAGATCCAGAAAACATTTTACCAATCATTGCTGCTATTGCTGAAGAAGCTGCTTACACAGCTGCTTTCGAAGCTGGAAAGTGGATCGGAAAGAAGTATTTCCACAAGCAAGAAGCCGAATCTAACGCCGAAGAACAAATTGACCCAGAAAACATCTGGCCAATTGTTGTTGCTATCGCTGAGGAAGTCGCCATTTCTGCTGCTACAGATGCTGCTATCGCCGGTGGAAAGTGGGCTTGGCACAAGATCCATGGCCAGAAAGCTGAATCCAACTCTTGGCTCCCAAAGGATTTCAAGTTACCATACATCCCATACCGCCCAGTTTACAAGTTAAACTCTGAAGAAGAGGAAGATGATGATAACATTTGGGGCACAGTTGCTAAGGAAATCATCAAGGAGGCTGCTAAGTGGGGCTATCACAAGGTCTTTGGCCAGGAAGCTGAATCCAACTCCTTCGCACCAAGAGTTGTTAGACCAATCTGGAAATCATACTAAACTAAATAACTTGCAATTACTTTAATTCAAGTTGATTAAATTTTAATTACAAACAAACAAAAATTTTTTTAATTATTCAATAATAGAATCTTCTTCTTCAGAGGATGATGAAAGAACAGTCTGCTTTTCTTCTTGGTCTTCATTGATAATGATCTCTTCGTCGCTGGAAGAAAGAAGATTATTGAAATTTATTTCAGGAAATTGCTTTTGCCGGAGTGGTGAGCGGAACAATGAAGGACTTATAGCGATGCCATCTTTAAATAACTCAGATGGTAGTACTTCGCTATCGCATGTTTCGCAATTTTCTGTTTTAACTGCTGAAATATCCTCTGGTACCGGGATTTCTTCAGTTTTCTGAGTATAGTATTTGTCATACTTCCTCCTGGTTTCATCAAGTATTTTTGGAGGAATAATTACCGGTTGACTTTCGAAAAAACGACAATCTGGGTCATAGCACCTTTGAACTGCAACTCCACTAGTTAATTTAGCCAAAATATATATTCCATTTGATTTATGTTCTCTCCCTATGTTTCTGCAATATCTGCAACCAGAAATTCCGAAAAGGAGTGTATTAAAGCCTTCATTATAATCACATTTTGAAATACTACCAGTAATATCAAATGCTTTGAGTATAAAATCTTCAATTCCGAGTCCATCTAATTCTGCTAAACTAATTTGATGAGAACCAGGCATTTCCTTCACATTTGTTATCTTCTTTTTACCATCATCTGTAGTAACAAGCATGTCTTCATAGCCAATGAGTTCTCTGTCAGGAGTATAAGAAATTAAAGTCGAAATAAAGAAATCTGCGTTGCTTGTAAGCACAGATGTATCAGATCCGTTCATTGGGATCAATTGCTCTTTGTATGACTTTTTTCTCTTAGAATTCCAGATTAATCTGAAACATCGATTTTTAGAGTAAACTCCATGATCTACGATTTCAGCATATTCAGGATTTGTTAGTATATTCTCATTAACGAATCTTCTAACATGGAAATTATCATAAAAAGCTTTAGTTTTAGACTTGATAATCACATGTCTTGAAAACTTCTCGCTTGAGTCAGTTCCGAGTAGTACTACTTCAGTATCGGTAACTCCCCATATCTCTTCAAGCTTATTTTGACTGAGTTCGATAATTTGTTTCACTAAATCGTCACCGTTAAGTTTTTTCTCAGCATAAAGGAATTCAATATCGTAATATAGGTGACATGGTTTTAAATATTCGATTACTTCATAAAAATGTCGATCAAATCCCCAACAAAAGTATTCAAATAATTCTTGATAAACTGCAGGGAAGAAAGTTCTTTTACCATCATCAGTAGTTTCATAAGAAAAGATTCCCCATGGGCGTTTATCTTGCAAGGGTTTCACGTTTTTGTATAAAGTTGTTGTATTTATGGTTTTCCTTAATTTTTTGATATAATCTGGTGCAGAAAGCCATAGAAGACGTCCCTTTGCAGCTTGAGAAAGATGAGATTGCCCAGAATAAAAAGATTTTGTGCTAATTTCATTCATTCTAAAAAGTGACAATCTCAATGAGTGAATCTTTTCTCAGACTAAAGAAGATTTACGAAAAATGCGCAGAAGTAGAACTCAGGAGATCAACACACGTAAATCAGCACCCGTACGAGATATTTGAAGATGAAGAAGAACTAGAAAAAGATTTAAAACCAAATTTCATTATATTTCAAGCGCGTGGAATGAATAACGAAAGCTATTGCCGTGTAATAGAAAACATGTTTTCACTATATGGTGATGTTAAACAAGTTATTTATGATTCTCGATTTGAAAATTACTTTTTCGTCGAATTTGAAAATGAAGAAGGCGTTCTTGAAGCAAGAGATTTCGCGAAAAGAAATAGAATTGCTATCCAAGGAACCCCAGTCAAGATTCATTTAGTACGATCAAAACCTGCTCAAAGATCATAGAATGTAACTCTATGATACGAAAAAAATACACACACCACTAAGTTTTTTACAAAAGATTTCCAAAAATTATATTTATGGAAGAGAATACTTATTAACATGTATTTATTGTTTTGTACATCTTCTAATTCTATTTTACTATAGATTTGTTTAAATAAATTATAATAAATTAAATTACATTTTTTATTTTGTTTTAATTTTAAAAATAAAAACCGCATTGATGCCATGAACATACTATGTTCCTTTTTGAATCAGTTATTCATAATTTCTTTTTGTTTCATGGAGAGATGTTACAAAGAGATCTTTCGGTCCATTTTTACAAAAAATACATCAGCAAAGATGATCCCAGATAACGAATCTTTATATTCTTTTATTGAATGCTATCAATTACAACTTTCTGACTGTACCCAAATTTTAAATTTTCTCAATCAAGGATTAGACATCGATAATGATCTCATAATAGCTATTACATCAAAACCAACCATGAAATTAATCATGACAAAGTTCCCTAATATATATTCATTTAAAAAGATAACAACAAATTATCTAACTTCAAAGGCAAATACTATCATTTCATATTGTTCAGTTATGTCTTCTATATTATCTAAAATTGGTCAGTCAAGACAAGATTTAGAACAGACAGCAAATGCAATACAAGATAGTATTATTTCGTACATGAAATTATCACATACGAATACTAACATAACAATCTGTAAATTCCAAAACTATGAAATTGACCCTGATTTATCTATTTATCTTGATAAAGAAAAATTATTAGAAAACAATCAAAACATCAGCAAAGAAATTGAACAGAAAAAATTTAGTTCTCATGTTTGTTGTTTGTGCAATGAATATCCTGCTATTTCATACGTTACACCATGCAATCATTCTTTTTTGTGTATGAATTGTTTGCAAGAAGCGTTTTCTTCAAATAATATCTGGAAATGTTATATATGTGGGAAGAAAATTGAAGAAGTTAAATAATTATCTCCTTCAAAATAACTTATATGCTTTCATTCAAGGAAGTAAGGATCCCATTTAGCTGATAGTGCCAATTTTATCGCACTATTTATCATCTTCTTGTGCTCGATTTTGATTATACAATTTGTTACTTATTGAAGAAGCAAGAAGTATGCATCATATATCTCGAGATCAAGGTAATTAACGTACCAACTTCATAATGATTTAGGATATGAATACAAAAATAATCCAAAATTTTTATAGATCTAAGAAATTGTATTTAAAAATATTTTGTATAAAACAATTGTTTTCTATTAAATCATTTTGTTAATATCACTTCATTTTTTTTTAAATTACCAACAATGGAGAAGATTTCAGATATTGAAATTCCAGAAGATCTGAAAGATTTAGACTGTTTTCAACAAACGCTTCTCGGATACGATTCAAATAACGCAGAACAACTCAAAATCATTATTGATTTCTTCGAAAAATATCCATTGATATCTTCATATGAGTTAGATCTATCATTTTATCTCCGACCTAACAAAATTTTCCATTACATTCATCTCCTTGAACAACTTCCCAAATTAAATCTTTTGTTTTTTCTAAAAAAATACGAATTATCATCAACAGTTAAGCATTTAATTGCAGAGCATTCCCAAGATAAAAGGCTTCAAGTATTTATTACTCATAATTCGACAACAAATCAAATAGTATTACCTTCAATAATAGAAAAAGCTTACGCTGATCGATCAAGGCTCTCATTCATTAGTTATAACAGTCTTAAAATATTAATTGAAGACGATCTCGATTCATATTTAAACTTATATGAAAATAAAGGAACTGCATTTTTAATATCTCTATTTGGTACAAATATTAATGCAATTCAGGCCGCTGCTCTGTTTGGAAGTGTCAAAATTTTCAAATATCTTTCACTCAACTCCCAACTGAACAATGATATCGGAAAATATCTTCTTATGGGTGGAAATAAAGAAATCTTTAGAATTTGTCAATCAATCAACATAGATTTTTCCCAAATTTTACAATTTGCGTATGCATTTAGGAATGACGAGCTCTATGACTATTTATCAGATTTTTATCCAGATAACAAAGTTAAGGGCCTCACAGGAACGATTCGTTGCATTCTATTTGCCAGCCAATTTCCACAAGAAGCTGATATATCACAATTTCTTGTGAATTGTGCGGTGGATGGATATAATTCAATATTCAATCATATTACAAACATCAAAATTTTATTTGGAGTCATTAATTCAATTTATGATGATAATGTTATCCATAAAATCCTTGAGAACAATACAATTCCTAATCTAATTCAATACATTCGCAATATAAACTTGTTATTACAAATTGTTAAGACTGAAAAATTTTATTATGCATTGATAAATGATCCCGAATCAATTAAATTCTCATATGCTTTTCGGGGTCATAAATCTCAGCTAGTTAATGCTATTAAAGAGTCGCTTGATGAAGATAGATACGTTAAATTAAACGAAATTGCAGCCAAAAATGAAATTTTGCTTATTTTCGATCCGGATTTCGCTTTTCAATTTCTATCGTCGGGGAAGTTCACCGACCAATCTACTCTCAATTTTTTGGTTGACAACATTGATATCTCAAAAATCGATACAGTTGATAAACTCATTAATATTTTCTTTTATTACCAAAAATGGTCAGTATTCTATGAGATAATGAAAAACGAAATTTCCGACGAAACCAAATTAAAATTGATGGATTTGTTTTATCCTGAAAATACTAAGAAGGGAGATTTCGATCGTAGCTCTCAACAACTACATAAAATTTGCGAATTTTTCTTTGCTTCACCAAATGTCAGAAAAATGGCAAAACTGTTGCATATTTTGTATTTTGCCTTTATATTTAATTCATCAACTGTTTATCCAATATATTTCGAAGATTGTCTCAAAGAGCAAAACATTCCTTTAGCAAAACGTAGTAAGTTGTTAGAAAATATCATAAAAAGTAACGTTTTCCAAAACACAACAATAGTTGATGAAACAATTGATTCATTTACGTATATACCTGAACTTTCTCTTTTTTATGAAACAAAAGAATTGAATAAGGAGCAGTTTTTGCGATTATCTCAATTAGCATTTTCAAATTCTCCACATTATAAGTTTTTATCTGATGAAAAATACATGAAATATTATGATTTTGATCAAATGCCAATATCTTTCTTTAGAAATTATGGAACATTCAATAAAGAAATGATTGATTATTTAGTCAAAGTTGGAAAACTTGAATCATTTGCTCATATTCCTGGTGTCCAAAAATTCATTGATTTTGATCAATTTCTTAATCTCAATTTAGATGATAAATTAAAATACTTTGAAAACCATATATTTGAAAAAAGTGAAAGCGAAAGAGTGGAAGAATTCTTCAGAAATAGATCACCATTTTTACTTCCTTATTTAATACAAAGAAAATCACAAGTCATTTCAATATTGAATCCAAAAATATTCATAGATTTACTTGATTTCAATCGAATTCTTACTGATAATTATTCCTTTTTAATGGAATCAATATATATTAACTGGCCTGATGAAACAATCCCCCAGAATGTTGCCAATTATTTTTTGATGTTTCCACATATATCATATAAAATTGTTTCAAATCAAATCGAAAGGATTTCGATTTTTCCTATTTCTCTTCAGATTTTATTCCCATTGATTTGTAATTTATATTCTTCTAATGAAATCTTTGAAAGAATGATTACTGAGAACAAAAATAAATACAAAGATTTCTTAATAGATACTATTGACTTTATCAATTTGTGCAATGCTCTGAAAATGTCAGAAGTTATAAAGTTTGTTGTAGAAAACTACAAACTTGACAAAATTGCTGTTTATTATGGAATCAGTAGATTAATTGTTTACAAAGATTTACCAACAGTTGAATATCTCATGAAGAAATTTAATTATAACTATGATTATGTTTTACTGAACAAATTAACAATTCCTCAAATGATAGATATTCATATATATGAAAAACAAATTAAAAAAGAGTTGCCACCATTTGATGTATGTAGTGATTATAATATATTAACTCCTCAAGTGCGTTCAGTACTGAAAAGTATTAATGGTTTTCACTTGGAAGAATATTTTGTATCTGAATCATTATTCCTGAAATTTCTTAATTGGCTTGACAACGAAAAACTGAATGTTAAAGTTGCTTCTTGCATTTTACTTTATACGATTGATCAAAGATTAATCAGCAAAATAGACTTAAGACAAACAATATACAAAGATAAGACTGATGATGAATTTGCTGCGATAATGAAAAAGAATTACCAGTTAATTTTTGAAGCATTAAAAAAGCAAAATTTTGACGACTTACAAGCAATTGATGATATTATAAATGGAAAGTCTATTTCTGTTGAAAACTTTACTCCTTACGACCAGTTTTATCTTTTGGCTTGTATGTATGATAATGTCGATGCAATGAAACAATTGTTAAGCAAAAGAAACTACATGGATGTTGAAATTAATAAATACATGAAGAGTCCAATTATTCTATCAATAATTGATCATAAATTTGAGATTTTCAAGTTATTAGTTAGTAACATTCCTGATCCAATAAATGCAATCTTTAGAGACATGACTCTTATATATGCTTCTATTAATTATGCATTCCAGCAGGGATTTGATTATTTGCTAGAAAATAATCTTTATAATTTGATTCCAAACAATTATTGTGATCCGTTTACAAATGCATTGCGTTTAAACAATCCATATTATGCATTAAAATTGGAAAAGCTGATTGATTTGGAAGCAGAAAAAATAGCTAATCCTGATTGTATATCATTAATTAAGCATTTGCATGGTGAAAATGTTGAACTGACTAATATTGGAAGGTTCATTCGCGCATGCGATAATGGTTATGTGATTGAATAAAATTTTTATACAATGTTATTATTTCATATTTGAAAGGACTTGCTCTTTTTCCCTTCTAACTATAATTTACAAGCTGTAATTTCACATGATTTGATTCATGAACAAGTTAAAATGAATAATATATCATCACCTATCAAAAAATCAATGCTGTATTTCTTCTATTCAAAAGGAAAAATACTATATCTTTCCATGGGATGCTGAATATCTGCAAACAATAGATATTTTCAGAAACAAAAATATTCAAACAGACATAATTATACTGATAAATATTTATGCGCTATTACTTGAGCCATTTAATCAAATTATAGTTGGTGAAGAAGATTATGTTGATGACAAAGAACTAACTTCATTTCATGATATTGAAAGAAGGAATAACATGATGCATATGTCAACGAAAAACATATATATATAAATACAGTTCTTCAATATGTATATCTAATTGAAAAGGAGACGGCTATCTATTGTTTTCAAAAGGTGAGGTTTCTACTTCTTCATAATTCACGCTAAAACAAGTTTTGATATTGACATTTTTATTGCTTGTTAATAGTATTTTATATTAATGTGTGAAAAATATTCAGATTTTTAAATGATTTGTCAAATTATGAAAAAATTTATCCAGAAACAACAAATTCATGATAACTACAGCGTTTATGGACATAATAAGTAATATAATCTAAATGTTGGACTTGTTACGACAAACAATTTTGAGATCTGTGTAAAACAAGAATATTTTCCCTTTTTTGATCAACGCATATAATACTTAAACATCACGGAATGCACTTAAACATTTACATAATGCATTGCGTCTCTTCTGTATCTAAAAATAAGTCAACATCTTCATATGGAAATAATATGTGATCGATATTGATTTCTTCGTGCTTATACTCTTGGTTATTCTGTATAGATGTCATTTCATTGTTTTGGAATTGCTTTTCCGATCTGGATGATTTGGATTTTAAGGAATGAACTTTTTTGTAAAATTTTGCAACCCCACACGAGAGTTTATTCATTCTATCCTTAATTGATATGTCTGTTTGGAAAGAAAAAAGCAATGGTTTTCCATCGAGGACCAAAAATGGAATATTTTTCAGATAGTAAGGAATCTTCTTCGGGTGTCCATGGGCTTTTATCCAAGTTTGGAGAAAGATATTTTTGATACCTTTCGCGACATTGCCTTACATTTCGAGTTTTAAATTTCGCAGCTATAACATGCCAATCATTGTCTCCATACATCTCAACAAGCTTTAGAAGCTTCTCATCTTCTTCTGGAGTAAAAATCGCCCTTGGATGTGACTTTTGTTTTAACTGTGGCTCCATTATGCGAAATTGAGAAATATTTCTTGAAATCAAATTGAGTGTGAATTCAAATATTGAGAGAATTTTACATGCGGTTAATTACTATTTCCGTTCAAATGTATGAGGAAAACATTATAAAATTAAAAATAGCAATTGATCTTGTTAATCATGCCAATAGTAACATGATGCATTACAAGAAAATACATGAACACCTTTTTAAATTTTATTGAATAATCAAGAATTCTATTGACATTAATGATAACCTTATTTCACATAATTGACAATGAATACTCTGCAAAATTTATCAATGAATTGAATTTAATTAGAATTTTGCTTCAAAGAAAAAATTTTTAACGATTTGTTTTATTTCATTCTGTCTCTTATTAAACATGACCTTTTCTGAAATTTATTCGTCATTAGAATCTTTCCACATATATCAAATTCAGAAGATTCCCATGATATAAAGCCAATAGAACTATCAATTGGACATGTAGATCTAAAACTCAAAATATTAATAACGCATGCATGCATAATTGTTACCTCTCCCATTATACATTAGGGATATGCATTTGATAAAAAATCTTTGAAAAGGATCAAAATTCACCAAACAAGAAGAGCAATTATCTTGGAATCATATACTGGATATAGCATGATAGAAATGAAGCTTGAAATAGTCAAATAGCAGCATAAAATAAGTAAAATAGATATAATTTATGTTACAAAATCGTTTCATTTCTAAGTACAAGCTATTCTGGTTGATCTAATATCAAATTTATAAAATCAAATAAAAAAAATTTTTTTATTGCTGTCAATTTTGAATGTTTGAGACTAAGAGAATAGTCAACTTTATTTACAAAGAAATAAAAGAGCGTGAAGAAATTGTTACCCATATCCAATCGATTGCTCTTTGGCACAAACCAATTGTTTCGGCCATTTCCCTTTTAATTCTCGAAATTATCTTTGCTATCTTCTACTTCATCAAAGCCAGACAAATCACAGTTATTCTTTCAATCATTGCTACATTTGCACTTCTCAACATTGCTAGAAATAATTTCCCAGCATTTTTCAATAAAATCTTCTCTTTCCAAATTCCTCAACAAGAAGAAAATGCATCAAACAGAATAAGATCTCCATCAGAACTTTCAGCGTACTTCACTACATTGTTATCATTCTTCTTTGACGTTGTCGGCTTCATCTTTCTTGATCCAGAAGCAACATCAATTATCCGCTTATCAATCAGTGGATTTTTACTCCTCGTATCTACAGTATTCTGCTATTTACTTGGCGATTTCTGGATAATTTATATTGTTTTCCACATTTTGTTTGTCATTCCAGGAATTTTACTTCATCCAAAAGTTTACACAATTCTTTTCAGCAATGAAGAAGAACCAGATGGAAATTCAGCTCAAGTTCCACCAAATCAGATCTTCCCACCTTCTGGTGGCATTAAGACACCACAGACAATCGACATGTCTGAGCATGTTGATACAATAGATACAACTCTGTCTGAAGCTCCTGAAAAAACAGAAGATGAAGGTAAAATTGAAAACCAATAAACTATTTGATTGAATTAATATTTTGAATAAACTTCTCTTACATTTTTTTTGTTTTAAAAAGCAAATAACAATTCGTAATAAATATTCCTCAAAAAATATTATTGAATTTTGAAGAATTCTTTTGGTCAGAAAAGCAAAAAATCAGTTAAATTTTATTATTTTCTCATAGTTTATAATTCAAACAAATTAAATATTTTTGTTTCCTTGCTCAGTGACAAAGATAACACCAGGCTTCCCTTGTTGAACTGTAAGGAGGCAGCCTGATGAATCGTAGTAGTCTCCATCGATACAAAATATCGGATCTTCGCCTTCTCCTGTCATCATTAGTTCGAAAGTGTAGTTTGGCTCTTCCATGCCTGCAAAAGCATCCGGCTCATACCAATTAACAATTGTAGATTGATTTTCGCTGTCGCCATTGTCATCATTTTCAACATTTTTAATTTTAAGATGAATGGACTGTTCAAGGATATCCATGTCAGGAGTATATGGTAAATCGTTATGGTGCTGTCTTTTAGGAATGCCTGATTTCTTAGGAATGGGATCTTCCTTCATTGCAGCAGGAACTGGTAATTTAGAACGCTTTCTTGGTGTTTCACGCTCTGCTTCTTTCGTGGACTCCTTTATTTCCGGTGTTTCGACTTCTTCTGGTTCTTGTATTTCTTGTTTCGAAATTATTGACCTTGAGCTGCTTTTTCCGGACTTAACAGACATCTGAGATGTTATATCGCTCTTTGGTCTGATGTTTAGTGCAAAATCTGCTTCTTCAAATGAAAGATCATTTTCGTTATTTTTCTCTTGTTGTTTTGGCCTTTTGAATGATGAGCGAGAAGGTATTTCTCTGACTCCGTCTTCGTCAGAAAGAATCACCTTTGAGCTCTGTTTCGAGGCAGAGCGAGCAGAATGCGGAGAAGGCTTCGGTTGTTCTGCTTTCACAGCAGCTTCTAGCTCATTGACAGATACAAGTGATACGGCTGGCTTAAGCACAACTTTAATTGGCTTTTTTCCACCTTCGACTAAAATAAAGTCATCTGGAACGATCCCAACATTTGCTCCTTTAGCAACAAAGATGTATTCTGATGATTCTGACGTTAAATTAAACTTTGTGAGTCCTGTGATGATTCTTCCTTTTGCATCTGTTAAAACGAAAGAATCTGTCTGAGGTGGATGTATTTGAACTTTACATGCAATATTCCCTAGATTCTTGACAGTTAATCTAACGCGTTTTGCAGTCCTTTGCTGACGAACATCAAAAGAAACTTGCTCAGGAAAAACAACAATTTCACCCATTGGCACTTTTTTGTATTTTATTGGCGTGTTGCGCCGAAAAAAAATATAATAATGCACGAAATCAGGGGAAAAATATCAAAACATACTTTTGTAATTATGATAGACATTCTTTATACAATAATCAGAAGCTTATATCAAGGCCCTTGCATGGATGTTTTGCGAAATGGGATTGATTTTACATATCAAATTGCAAAAGGAAAAATACATAAGAAAATTGTATAACTGAAGATCAATTCTGACTGGATATGAAAAAAATCTCTCATAAACGATTTATTTTAAAATCCCTTTCAATGTAATATTCAATAGCATTTGATGTTTCTCTCCTAATATAATCCATTACATATCAAGAGTTACTAAAAAAGAATTCTGCAAAATTTCATAGTATCCATGGAGCAATTGTTGATGGAATATAGCTCTTCTTTTGAAAACGAAATTTATGTAAAATTTTGACATCTAAAATTTTTGGTTGATGTCTAAGGGAGAAATTAAACAAAATCATTATGACAAATCGATGGAGATTTATACAGGATATAATGATGTCTACAATGATTTGTACAGGCTGAAAACAAATGACGAAGAAAAATTAAACGCAATTTACAAAAAAATCAAACAAAACCTGATTGACTCTTATCATATTCCGCCTGATGCGATAATCACTGCAATATCCCAACTTTCAATTTATAACAACCGCTACATGAAGTCATATTTAGCGATTGCCAAACAAATTGTTGACGAATACCATCTAAATCATGTCAACAAAATCAGCAGGGTTTTTGATTACCTTTTCTACAAAGGATACAGTACATTATTGAATGAAAACTGGAAAAATCTTTATAACTTTTATGAAGTTGCTCATTATTCATCTGACATTCACGACCAAAAAACAATTCACAGATCTATTATGAATGATGACAAAATAGCTTTGATAAATTTTACAGAAAGAGAAGGATTTTATAAAAATCAAAAATTAACTAGCGATTTATATCCATTTTCAGGATTTGGTATTTCATTACTTGAACTATGTTGTTATCATGGATCTGTTGATTGCTTTAAGTTTTTAAGAATGAAATTTCAATCAGAAATCACTCCAGATTGTCTTAGATATTCGTTTTTGGGTGGAAATCAAGACATTATAAATGAATGCTTGAAAGTACAAAAACCAGATGAAGTATGCATGGAATGTGCAATTATATCACACAACATTGATTTTGTAACATTTTTGATGAATGAATACGATATAAAAATTGATTTAAAATTGTGCTCTATATACAATAATCTTCAATCATTTTTAGTTTATTTGGATCAAACAAATGACATCAACACATGTTTTGTTTATTCTCCGAATTTCTATCTTTCATCACTTTTAGAATATTTTATTTCAAATGGTGCAGATATCAATGCTAAAGACAATGATGGAAATACCGCTCTTCACCATGCAGCCAGGTATAATAACAAAGAAATTGCAGAAATTCTTATTTCAAATGGTGCAGATATCAATGCTAAAGACAATGATGGAAATACCACTCTTCACCATGCAGCCAGGTATAATAACAAAGAAATTGCAGAAATTCTTATTTCAAATGGTGCAGATATCAATGCTAAAGACAATGATGGAAATACCACTCTTCATTATGCAGCCAGGTATAATAACAAAGAAATTGCAGAAATTCTTATTTCAAATGGTGCAGATATCAATGCTGAAAACGGATATGAATCTACCCCTCTTTATTATGCAGCCAGGTGTAATAGCAAAGAAACGGCAGAAATTCTTATTTCAAACAAGGCAAAATAAAGAGTCTCTTGTTATATTCTACTTACACAATGATTTATTCATTGAGTCCTTATTCTCGAAACAAAAAGTAAACTTGATCGGAATATTTCCTCAATCTGTTTTACTCCTTGTTATATTCAGGTTTATTATCTGGATTAATTTGCATCCAAACCAATAACAACTTATTGGAGAGTTGTCATCCTCATTGCAAAAATTTTTCTAATGTTTCCATTTGAAAAATTCTTGTATAAATTTTGCATAAAACAAGATATTATCATCTTACAAGATTTATATAAAAAAGATGTAATTAATAAAATTAATATTCTCAACAAATGTAAGAGCGACATCAAGTGGTGTTGCCTTGCCTTGGACAACAGATTCAATCTTGTAATTGCCAGCTTCACCGAACGACGCCACTGCAGTAAGCAGGGCTCTTCCTTGGCTGCCATTGCTCTGAAGATCTCTGCGCCTGGTCCAGGAAGACATGTTGACTTGTAAGTGAGGTGGTTGAGGAGCCTTGTGATTGCATCCTGGATTCCGTCGAGCCTGTTGATATAGACGAAGAGCTGGCATCCGATATCAGGAAGCTTCTTAACTTTTGCAGCACTGCGGCTCCACATGTTGCAAGCTCTGAGGATGGCGAATCTTGCAGCGGAATATGCCTGTGTCCACCTCTTGGCCTCTGTGGAGCACTACATCAATCAGAGGCCTGCAACAAGCAACAATGGCGAAAAAGAGGAAGTTCCTTCTGACACTTTGTAACGTAAACATCCTTTCCGTTGTATGCTCCAACCTTTTGGCCTTTTTTGTCGACTTCGATTGATGCAACTGAAACTTCCTGTTTATCAGCATGACGGATGATTGTAGTGTTCTCAATTCTTACAATGATTTTATACTCAAAAATGCTTTACATCAGATATATATGTAGCTACACATATAAATTATCAATATCAAGATTTGTAATTTTTTACTCGTTTTTTTTTACCAAAAAAAATGAATTCAACTCCTGTTGTTATTGATACAGGAAGTGGATTCACTAAAGTCGGTTTTGCAGGATATTATGAACCAAAAGTTGAATTTCCAACTGTTGTTGGTGTTCCTAAAGATAGTACAGCACTAATTGGCGGAAAAAACGTTGATTTTTTTGTAGGCAACGAAGTTTTTACGAAATCAGATTTGGTTGACATCTCAAAGCCAATTGAAAACGGTGTTATTGTGAATTGGGACGATATTGAAAAAGTTTGGCATCATACGTATTATAACGAACTTCTTGTTGTCCCAGACCAGCATCCAGTTATCATTACAGAGAAACAATGCGCAACTCAGCATGCAAGAGAGAAAACAATACAGATGTTTTTCGAAACTTTCAACGTTCCTGGATATTATTCAGGCGTACAATCAGTATTTGCTCTTCTCTCATGCGGACTAACGACTGGCATAGTTTGGGATGGCGGTGAGGGATATAGTTCTGTTGTTCCTGTTTACGAAGGATATCAACAACCTCATGCAGTGCTTCAATCTCCAATTTGCGGAGAGGTTCTAACAAAATTCTTTACAGATAAACTTAATGCAGCTGGTACTGATACATCTTTCCTTAAACCAAACGATATTGCAGGTTTGAAAGAAAATAAATGCCGTGTGAATAGAAAAATTGACGAAAATAGAGCGAAAACATCGCAATCATTGAAACGAAGGAAGATTTTTCAAAAAGAATTGCATTCTCAGAACGAATCTGAAGCAGAAGCGGATTATGACACCGCTGAAGTATTATTCAATCCATCAATTGCACAACTATCCACTCCATCTATACCAGAAACCATCGTTCAGTCGCTTTTGCTAGTTGATACAGCTGTTCGCTATGAGATGCTTCCAAATGTTGTTTTATCAGGCGGCTGTTCGATGTTTTCCGGTCTCCCTGAGCGTATGGAATCAGAAATTATAGGAATTGATATAAAACCTTTATTACAACCGGGGGAAACTCTTCCTCCTCCAAAAAGAAGAACTCACGGAGAAACATCAATCCAGAACAATTCATCTTTACAGTCATCATCACTTCAAGCTTCTTCGATGCAGGCTGCCGTGAAAGGACAAAAGATTTCTGCAAAGAATTCTGGATTTTTAGGGGAAAAGCAACAAGCTCAGTTCAGTTTGGATGATGATTCTTTGGCTTTGACTCCTGAAGAATTGCATTCGATGTCTCCGGAAGAAATGCTCGATTTAATTGATCCGAATATTAAAAACGATAAGAACTATAAAGTACCAAAACTTGAAGATATGATCATACCTGACCCTATTGATCTTCGCCTGAAGATTCCTGGTGATTTCCTTCCTCCTTCCCAAAAATACGGTTTACCTTTAACAAATGAGACACTTTTACTCACAGAAAATGGGTATATCATACCATATGAGCGATATAAATGCTTAATACAATACCAAAAGGCAAGAAAAGTTAAAGTTCCAGTTGGATTAAATGCTCATGTTACAGCACCTCCAGAGAGAAAGAATTCTGTATGGATAGGAGGATCTGTTCTTGGATCACTTGACCAATTCCCTGATCTTTTGATTTCTAAAGAAGAATATAAAGAAACAGGATCTTGGATTGTTCAAATGAAATGCTATAGCTAAGAATTTATATATTTTGTTTGAATTATATGTATTTATTGTTATTTAAAGAAAATTTTGTAAGTAATTATTTTTATTTAAAAGAATATTTATTATTTGCAAATGACTATTATTTACTCGAGAGCCATGATCTTGTTAACACGGCGCTCATGACGATCGCCGAGGAAATCTGTTGTAAGGAATGTTTTGACGATATCAATAGCTGTTTCTGGGCCAATGATACGTGCACCCATAGCAACGATGTTAGCATTGTTGTGCTGGCGGCAGAGTTGAGCTGTAAGGTGTTCGTGGCAAAGAGCGCATCTGATTCCCTTGCATTTGTTAGCAGCAATGGAAATTCCGATACCAGTTCCGCAGATAAGAACACCCAGTTGAGCGTTTCCTGACTCAATTTCCTTAGCAGCGGCTTGAGCGAAGTCTGGATAGTCAACAGATTCTGTAGAATTTGTGCCAACATCAATAACTTCGTGGCCAAGGGACTTGACTGTATCAATAACTGTTTGCTTTAAGGCAAAGCCACCATGGTCGCATCCAACGACAATCTTCATTTTGAAGTGATTTTGTCACATTTTTTGATCGGGTTATTTTTGAATACTTTCGACAATTGAAAGAAAATTTACTATCAATCATAGTGTTTTCTATTGGTTTATGCGAATATATACTATATATGAGCCAATTAGTAACTCAGCTTGTTATACATATTATTGAACAACATTTACAGATAAACATATTTGTTTCTTAATGGTGTATACTATTTTTTAATCTATTTTTGAGTTAATAAGCTGGATATGTTGCAACAAATATTGATTCCTAAGCCTTAATACAATATTTTGCTAAGGATAACAAATATACTTGAGAGCGAAGTCCTTTATTTAATAAATTACCATGTATTCAATCAAACAACTTTATTCTTACAATACTATGTTCTGATACTTGATAAAATGGTGTAAAATATATCGAATATGGATTTTTTTTTCGATTGGTATATTATTCAGTAATGTCTTTTGTATATATCGTTACATTGTCGAAGATAACATACTCTCCTAAAGGGGATGCTTAGTAAATCAAATTAAAATCGATTTTATTCACTTGAATATCTTAATGTATCATATATTTGGCTAATCTGATTGATGGATTTATATCAAAATCAGTATGAGAGCATGATCATGCATGAACTCAGATGAGCGCAAATTCTGATAAAAAACCTTCGATATAAAAAATTTATAAAATGCCAAAATCTCTGATTCCTCAATTTCCTCCAGAGTTCGTCAATGGCAATATTGATGCCATGGATGTTAGTAATTATGGTGTAATTGCTCTCGCTTCTGGAAATCTTGTCAATTTCTTTTCATACGAAAATAGAGTCATTCAAAGATCTTTTTCTGTCATTCCAACACTGTCAACAATTACAGTACTTAAATTTAATAAATTTAAACAAGAAATATTAATCGGTGACGCAGGTGGGCGCTTTTGCATTTATGATCTCATAGATCTCAAAGTAATTGCATCGACACCACCACTTAGGGATCCAACACCAATCTGCGACATGATCTGGTATGATAATTTCATTCTAACAACAAATGGAAATCGTTATCTAAGTTGCTATCAAATAAATCGTGCAAAAACTACAGAATTCTCTCTTTTATGGACACTTCAATTACCTTTATTATTTATAAGAATGAAATTCGATGAACTTAATAATAATTACGTTTTACTTTACGGACATGACAATTCTTTCCTTGTTTTACCAATAACTAGTCTCAAAGAAATACCAATAAGCGACTTGAACGTTCTCGAAACAACTTCTAACATAAGAGATGCTCAATTTCACTATCATTTGCCAGGATATGCTATTTTTGTACTCGAAGCTGCTGTATGCTTATACAACATGCAGTCTGGACGATTGGTAAGCGTTGTCCAATCTTCTCAAACAACTTCGCCATTTGAGTCGATAATTCAATTCAGATCCAAGCATGACGAGTTGATTGTACGCCATTTCAATGGTACTTTAACGCTCTATTCCGTTACGGATCCGTACAATCTTTATGCCAAAAAATACGCGATTCACATGCAATTGAAGCAACGACTGTTCATGGCTGTAAAAGACCCATCTGATGATGATACAGTTATTTTATTCTATCATCCTTTCGGTTTAGCAGTCTTTGATGTTAAAAGATACATGATTTTGTCTGTTTGCCCACTTTTCACCTGCAAATCATTATGTTTCGACAGCGATGGAACAACATACGTCAATGGTATGTCTAAAGGTCTTATTTGCGTTGGAGATCTCCATGATTATTCGAAAGTTACTTCATTCAACGTTTCCGATGAAGATGTAACATTTGTTTCTGTCAGCAAATCAATTGTTACATGGGCCACCGAGTCCTCAGTCGGTTCCATCAACCTAGAAACCAGAAAAGTAATTCAATATCCACAAAACGACAAACCACTGAAAGTTGTTGGCAGTCGTAATGGTGGCTTGCTTGTATTACGTCGTCCGGAGCTATTAGGCGTTTTCATCAACGGAAAAGAGAACAGAATTTCATTTAATTCTCAGATCACCACATTTTCTCTCCAAGAAGACGAATCCACATTCGACAACGGTTCCCTTGTAGTTGTCACCGAGAACCACGCTATTTATTTCATCAAATATGCAGGTGGATGCGTTGAAGCCCCATTTTTGCAGATGAGAGTTTTAGAACAGATGGGAACAGTCACGCAAATCGCCTGGTACGGCCACGACATTGTCACAGGCTCAAAGGAAGGCATCCTCACGAGTTTCGACATCAGAAACCCTCAGCCGGAACTCTTCAACCGCTCCGAACTTCCAATTCTTTCTCTAAAATACAGAGATGGAACATTGTTCGGAATGACAGGAACAAGCGTTTTTATCGGCGTAAAAGGTGGCATGGCAAATGGCACTTTTAATTCAATTGTTCCAATTTCTGCCACAATGTTTGCATACATCACAAACAATGGTCATGTGAGGGTATGTGATGCAGCATCTTTGGAAGCTGTTCCTGATTTACCACTCAAGCAACCACGCGATAAATTCAACACTGAAATTCTCTTGGACATCAAAACAATCATTCAAAACAACCCAAGTTTGAGGATGATGTCGATGAGTTGTGCAGGAGATGAAAAGAGTTTATTGTGCAATAGAATTTACGCGCATTTGAGTGAGAAAGAGAATGCAGAGAAATGGTTTGTCATCAGACAATTATGTTATGCAAATAGAGAGAAAGATGTTGTTGGATTACTCAATGACATTAATCCTGATGATCCAAGGTTTATGTTTGTTTCTGCACTTGGAATTATGTTGCTTGCGGATTCACAAAAGAAGAATGAAGTGCAAAGCGAGTTCATCAAATCTACAAGCATGAAATTGTTTGGAGCAAACAGAATTCCTGATGCTGTAACTCTTCTGACATTGACAGGATTTGATAAAATTGCTGTCGAAAAGTTGTTGGAAATAAACTTGTTTAATTCTGCACTTCCGATGATAAGATGCAGAGTTGAAAAACAGGATAAGTATTGTTATGTTATGAAGATTGCTGTGAAGAAGGCAAATGATGGAAATTATGCTTCTGCAGCTGCTTTCTTTGCTTCGGCTGGTGAATATCATGGAACTTTGTTTTGCTTGTGGAAATTGAATTTGATCACTGACGCTTTAGTTGTTTTAGAGAAAGCGGAAGTCAAGGAAATGAATTCTGATTTCGCAAGCCAAATTAATAATTTTGTAGCATTAGATGAGCTTGTTAAGCTTATCAAGAAATATTCTTTATTTTAATAAACATATTTTTTTAAAAGTAATTTTATATAAATGCAAAAATTACAATTCCTATTGATAATAGAAATAAGTAACTAGAAAGGAGTATCAATATATATGGTAGACAATTGCCTATTTGTAAGATTCAGCAAACTATGAGCGCGAAGAATTATTTGTTGGTTTGGATGAACACTCAAAAGTTTTGAATCTAAAAAGCAATAACTTGCTAAATAGAAAATTTGATAACAATAATTTCAAGTTAATGATGATTCAAGATATGTAATAATATTGCATGCCCAATCATTTAAGGTAAGAACTTGGTGAATAATAAACAGATTATCTCTCTATTCAGCTCATTAAAAATGTAATATAATATAAATATTGTTTAAACGAGAAAAGTTTTGTTCACAGCTGAGTTATCGTCTTTTTTGCGCTTTACAATTATAAATCCTATAATAATTGCAATAACAACAGCAGCAGCTAAGAAAACACAAACTAATACAATTGCAACAGTTTTTCCTTTTCCGGAAGACTTTTTAATCAGTCCGATTTCGCTCATGTCAATTGGTTCAATGCCGAGTTTGTTAAGTCTGGAACCCTTTTTGATGGAGTAATCTCCATTCTCAAAATCTGCAAAGTCAGATTCGTTTGCATCAATGTTGTTGTCGTAATAAATTTCATCCATTATCGTTGCATTTAAATATCTATTTGTGTTATTACAAAAAATATTGTGTGAAAAAATAGCTGATGGAGGAATCAATGGTGTTTTAACAGTTCCTCTCTTATAGAATTCATCAATCTTGGTGATATTTTCGTATCTCTCTGAATATGGTGGCAAATAACCAGCGACTTTTGGATTTCCTGTGATATTGTAATAGTTTTTCATCAAACTTTTATGGACATCTGCAAGACCCGGCATAGCACACATTGCCCTAGTTAAAAGTGCGAACTCACTTCCAATAAATACATTGTTTTTTACAATGTAATCTCTACCACCATTTACCAAAAGCCCGGATTTAACTTTATATAAAATGTTGTTTGTCACTAGAGCTGTACGCACGCATGAATCGAAATAAAATCCAATGATGATGGGTTTAGGAGTGAAGACATCGTGGATGTAGTTGTTCCTAAGTATGTTTCCTCGAAACGTGTAGTCGTTTCCTAAATATATAACACCGTTATCAGAAGCTTCCTGAAGTAGATGATGCATCTCATTTTTCTCAAACAAATGATCGTTTCCAGTTATAATAATTCCGGATTGAGGACCATTATATATAAGGCAATTGCGTACTGTGTGGCCGACACCCACTAATAAAATAGCAGGATAAGAGCTTCTGGACAAGTTACCAAAATAATAAAATTCACAATTGTAAATTAAATTGTTACTTTTTTCTAAAGTAGCTCTGTTTCCTCCACTCATAATAAGTCCGTAATTCAAAGTGTTGTGGATTAGACTGTTATTTAATGTAATATTTGACCCATACAACATTAGGCCATTGAGACCAATATTGAACACTTTTACATTATCAATGGTTACATTTGTGCAATAATAAAATTCAATACCATTATAACATGTTGCTTCAATAGATATGTCTCGGATTTCTATGTCATGAGTATTTACTGAACGTATTACTGCTTGAGTTAAATTTGATAAAAATATTTCTGTTTTTGAGTTAATTTTGCCAAAAGGTAAGAAATAAAGTATTTTCGTCTCATTGTCAATATAGAAATCTCCTGGATATCGAATCTCTTCAAGAATATTATAGAAGAAAATACCATCACCTTGTTTTGCTAAAATAGAATTGCCAGCGTTGCCAAGGTATACTTTCTGATTGCTTTTATCTATCCGAGTTACTTTTTGAGCGGATCCGGACCATCGATAGTTCCAATAACCAAAGGCCATGATATTAGGATGATATTTCCATGTGTATATGCGAGAATCATTAATCCCAATACCTTTTACTATTGATGTCGCAGTTACTGGAGAAGAAACGTTTATAAATTCGCCAACACGAGGATATTGAGCAATATTCATTTGTTGCTGATCAATATATAGATGATTGTGCGAGCATCTAGGCGAATATGTATATCCAAATTGATAAAATGGGCGAAGATTTGTGATATTGAATTCTTTGAGATCAATTTGATATATTTTGCTTCTAACACTTTCATCTAGCCTATTTAGAATATTATTGTCTGTTACTTTGGCCCAATTTGATAATTTGATTCCACCGATTAATCTGGTATTTTTTTCTCCAATGATGCGGGTATGATTTTCTTTGATCTCAATAGGAGATGACACATAATTTATACCTGGCTTTAATTGAATATCAACTGCTGATGCTAAAACAGCGAAAAGCATTTTTTTATGAGAGTACTCTTACTCATTCATCAATATTTGTAGAATGCTATGAGATCTATTAAATAAAAGAGATATACAATTAATTATCGCTCAAAATTTTGAATTACAGACCCGTGAAATATTATGAAAGAAATCTTGGCAGGACGAATATTTTTTGTTTATCCATACCCTATGACTCATACATCAAGAGTTCTATGAATCTGACACCAACTATTGTCTAATTCAATGAATTCTATCAGAAATTGAATGCTCCACATATCTGCCTGTTGACATTATCTAGAACCGTTTTTTATTTTGATGTCTGAAAAATAATCAAAATATAATGTATATATGATTAACCAAAGTATGTTTTTATGTTAGTAGATACGAATGCACGAATGTTATAGACCGAAAATAGATTTTTTCGGTTTTCTCTTCAAATAATTGAAAGAATGATACTATTATAGGTTTATTATATTATATAGCATATAATCATGCTATAGCCGAAAATTATAAGTTTTGAGAAGATTGAATATAACACAAATAAATGTGAATGTAAGTTAAATTGCTTGTTGTTTTTAATAGCTATTTAATGAGAAATCCAATATTGCAAAATTCAAATTGAATGATTGAAAGAACAGAAAAAGTCATTCTTTTCAATTTCGAATATGTTTCATTGTATTTATAATTATATGACAAATAAGATATTTAAACTTGATTTTTGAAGGAAAATTCACAAAATTGAATAAATTCAAATAATTTTTATTCAAAAATAAACTAGTCATTTGAGTTTAATACTAATTATCTATTCAAACTACAAAGTTTGTAATTTAAAATATTCTGTGAGATCAGATTGAATTAATTCAAGGTTCTTTTCAATTAATATTAATGACCATATTACGCATTTTCGAACATTCTAAACCAAATATAAAAATGGGAGATGAATGTTAAATTTGCTAGACATGGGGAGTTGTCTGCAAAGTTTTAGCTCTTATCTCTAACAAAAAATTAATTTTTAAAAAAATGACGAATACGTTTCACAGCGAGAAAAAAATAAAAGGCAAGATAGAATTTTCTAGACATAAAGAAGTTGTTTACCGAGTTTTAGCTCTTATCTCTAACAAAAAATTAATTTTTAAAAAAATGACCGAATACGTTTCACAGCGAGAAAAAAATAAAAGGCAAGATAGAATTTTCTAGACATAAAGAAGTTGTTTACCGAGTTTTAGCTCTTATCTCTAACAAAAAATTAATTTTTAAAAAAAGACCGAATACGTTTCACAGCGAGAAAAAAATAAAAGGCAAGATAGAATTTTCTAGACATAAAGAAGTTGTTTACCGAGTTTTAGCTCTTATCTCTAACAAAAAATTAATTTTTAAAAAAAGACCGAATACGTTTCACAGCGAGAAAAAAATAAAAGGCAAGATAGAATTTTCTAGACATAAAGAAGTTGTTTACCGAGTTTTAGCTCTTATCTCTAACAAAAAATTAATTTTTAAAAAAATGACCGAATACGTTTCACAGCGAGAAAAAAATAAAAGGCAAGATAGAATTTTCTAGACATAAAGAAGTTGTTTACCGAGTTTTAGCTCTTATCTCTAACAAAAAATTAATTTTTAAAAAAAAGACCGAATACGTTTCACAGCGAGAAAAAAATAAAAGGCAAGATAGAATTTTCTAGACATAAAGAAGTTGTTTACCGAGTTTTAGCTCTTATCTCTAACAAAAAATTAATTTTTAAAAAAAAGACCGAATACGTTTCACAGCGAGAAAAAAATAAAAGGCAAGATAGAATTTTCTAGACATAAAGAAGTTGTTTACCGAGTTTTAGCTCTTATCTCTAACAAAAAATTAATTTTTAAAAAAAAGACCGAATACGTTTCACAGCGAGAAAAAAATAAAACTGTACACTGATTTTAATTTTCATTTCCAGTCACTTTACTTATTATTTTTTCTTTTTTTCATTTTAATTATAAATTATTTCATAATACGTTTATTTACGTTACCATTTTCTTTATTCTTTTGAATTCCATACTAGACACTTATAGAATATTTTGATTGTTAACGTACTTCATTAGAATGAATCCTTACAAAGGGTATGTCGATCGAATTTACCTAATTGGTATTTCCAATCAGATTGAAGAAGGTAAAATGACATGGGAAGAAGCTTGCACCTATGTTCCCATCGCTCCAACCCTTCAATCAAATGATTTCAAATATTTAGATGTTTCAAAATCTTTTTTACAAAATCAATTTAGCTTACAGAATATTCCATTGCCTAAAGGCAAGAAAGGTCGTAGGGTCAATCCCTACGACCAAATCAAAGCTCTTGCTGTGATACATGACCACTGGGCCTTTCCCTGTGGTCAAACAAAACAACGGAAACGTTTGAAATTACAACAAATTGATGTATCTTATAGAGAAGTACGCAGATACTTCAAAGAAAATCATTTCACCAAGACGCGATTAGAGCATGCCGGGCCAGAAACAGCAGTAAGATATTGGGCGCTTTCACCCAATCTTATCTGGCACGCAGATGTTCATTATTTTAGGGGTGTTCGTGGCCAGTATATTTATGGCATAATCGACGATTTTAGCCGCAAAGTCCTAGCGTGTATACAAATACCAGATATGCTGGCAGCGACGACAGCGAACGTTGCGGCTTCCGCCTTCATTGAATTTGGCGCCCCTTATTGTTTCTGGACCGACAACGGTTCAGAAAATAGGGGCGCCTTTCAAGATCTACTTGATCTTTGGGGCGTCCAATGGCGGCATACAGACTCTCATTCTCCCTACCAAAATGGGAAGATTGAGAGATTCTGGCCGACATTGGAGCGCTGCCAAAGCATTCAGGCTATTCCTGCCTTTATTTGGGAGTACAATAATAACACACCGCATGAAGATCCCCAATTAATCCATTAACTGGAACAAATTACACGCCAAATCAAATGTATCAGCTGAAACCGAAATACACAAATGCAGATACAGAAAGGTTGTGGCAAATATGGGATACAGATACAGGCATGACCGCTGTTGACACATTCACAGCGTAATAATAAACATAATTTTTTAATTTCATTTTTAACAAGTTTTTTTAAATGTATGTAATGAATAATTCATTAGAATATGATAATGCACATTGTAACAGAATAGAACAATCACCAAATTTTTTTTTGAAATTAAAAAATAAAAGTAAAAAGTATAAAGTAATCTAACCAAAAAAGATATTTAAAAGAATTTTGGAAAAAACAGAATAAGGATAATGATATTATTTTAGATACACAATCGATGTACTGAAGAATAATCCGGTAAAATGATGATATAAAATTAGATTATTTTACAAGTAGCTAAAAGAATAAAACTATAAAAAAAAAAAAAAAAAAAAAAAAAAAAAAAAAAAAAAAAAAAAAAAAAAAAAAAAAAAAAAAAAAAAAAAGGTTAGTGGGGCTTCCAGGCACTTCGTGCTTCTAGCCCTGAAGATGTTTAGTATAAATGAAGTTCTTATATACGTCTTCCAGGAGCTTTTCACAAATTATATATGTTTTCATGTTTTGTCAAGACTTCTTCGTAAAATCAGACAAAAATAATGTTTAGGTAGAAGGTTAGATATAACCTCTTTTCTAACCTCTTTTCTACCCTCTTGAATTTTCAAGACTTCTTCGTACATGTTTTGTTACTTTTCTGTCACTTTTCAGGGAAAAACATTTTTATATTATATAAATGAATTTTACAAAACCACCGTTACCGTTCTTTGGAAATAAGAGTAAATGTAAAGATTATTATATTGAGAGAACTTAAGAAACTACCGAATGGTCTAACATTTGTAGATTTGTTCGTGGAAGTTTCTATATATCCCATTTGTGCCATACAATATTCCTGACTCAAAGATTATATGCAATGACTTCGACAACTATATGGACCGTCTCAAAAACATATACCAGACACAAACAAATATTGAAAGAGTTAAAAGAAAAGATACCTATAGGTAAGATGGAAGCGTATACCATTAGATAAGAAAAATATTGTGAGAGAGGTTTTGAAAAAAAGCAGAATATATAGACTGGAATAGTATATCTGCTAGACTATTATATAGTGGTTCTATAAGAGTTCATGACATTGAAACACTTATGTCAAAAGTTTTATATCTTAACTATACAAATGTTTTCAAAGAGGACATAGAAAAATATATTGAGGGTATAGAGTTTGTGAGATGTCATTGGAAGCAGTTGTATGAAAAATATAAAGACAAGGAAAATGTTTTCTTTATAGTGGACCCGCCGTTCTATAACACATGGGATTTTCAATACCAAGTAGACTGGACTTTGAGAGACTCTTTAGAAACTTTAGACGTTTTACATAACCATCCATGCTTTTACTTTACATCCGATAAAAGTGGTTTGGAAACCGTTATGAGATGGTTAGAGGACATACATGACTATGAGTTTAGATATGACAAGATAGAATATGAGAGAGGTCCTATAAACCGGAGAAAGTGTCATAACAAAGAAATTTTATTAGTAAGTAAATGTGGTTTGAAATCGGACTACTTGTTTTAGGTTTTTTCCATTGTGTCATTTATTTATTTGACGTGGCAGAAAAGTACAGAGAATATGAAGATGAACCAATGCCTGCAAATGTTCAGTATATGTACTCGTAAGAGATATTTTTATCTAATATTAAATGGACGCACAGAACTTAGCGAATGCACAGCAACCTGGACAACCAAACCCAGAGAATATTCCAAATGAAGTTAGAATACAAACTGCAATGGCAAACTATGGTCAAGTGCCAACAGATGTTACAAATGCAAACTGCCATGTCAAATGACGCTGCGTTAGGTTTGCCACCATGGTATGCAAATAGAGATGGAAAGAGTTTTATACAAACCCTGAAGTGGGATATAAACAACTTTATGCAGATGACGCGAACACAGGAGTTGACCCAGAATATGTTTTCTACCAGAGGAGAAACAGAATGTATGAGCTCCAGTTAAAGAATGCTATGGAACTCAACAGGAAAC